TCACTCTGTTGCCCAGGCTGGAGTACAGTGGTGTGATCTTGGCTCACTGCAACCTCTGTCTCCTGGGTTCAAGCGATTCTCCTGCCTCAGCCTCCCAAGTAGCTGGGACTACAGGTGGGCACCACCACACCCAGCTAATTTTTTGTATTTTTAGTAGAGATGGTGTTTCACCATGTTAGCCAGGAGTCTCAATCTCCTGACCCCATGATCCTCCCGCCTTGGCCTCCCAAAGTGCTGGGATTAACGGCATGAGCTACCTCACCCGGCCTCCCTTCACCTTCCTAAGCCACTTCCCTCAGTGCCCTTCACCAGGCTTCTCCTTCCACCTGGCCTCAGCCACCCAAGCCCCTGGGAGATTGATCTCTTGCCTCCTTTTAAGCTCACGCTGCATTCTCCACTCCCAATCTCTCTAACAGGCTGGGTGGAGAAGGAGACATACTACTGAGCCCATTGGAAGAAGAACCAGGCACAGAAAGATGGGGAGCTCTGGAGGTGTTGTGGGGATGGTGATGGACAGGGATGGAAATATAATGGGTGGCATTGGGTGGCAAGATTTGGGGAGAGATAATGAGGCAACTCAGCAGGCTAAGTTGCGGGCTGAATAAATTGGGGTGATTACCCCATGGACCTAACTGTGAGCAATCAGATTAGACACTACATGTTTGAGTCCTCCCACCAGATCCTTTTCCATCCCACTGTACTATGCTGTCTATTTTTTCTGAGGAATTAAGGGTTACCCCACCCTCCCCACTCCCATCCCTTTAACCCCACCTCCTACTGTAATAGATCAGCAACCCAAGGCAGGAACCTGTCTAAACCAGAAGAAAGCCCTCTCAGCTCACCCCAGCCTCACTCCACTTCCCACTTCCATCCCTGCTAGCTGCTTGCAGGACTCTATCCCTGGCTTTCCCCTCAGATCTTGCAATCACAAAAGGTTCTTCGTGTGAGTGCAAGAGCCTGAGGCTGGAAAAGGCTGACTTGTCTCCCAGGCTAGGCTGGTAAGGGACCTGCAGGGAGAGCTGGGCAGACAGGTGGGAGGGGGTAGGGCTGGCTGGAGGAGGGAAACAACAAAGGAACCAAGGTACTGCCAATGACAAGACATTTGACGTGTCTTGAGTCTCCAGATAGATGCCGTGGGCTCTATCTCTATGTCCTGCCCTTTTAGAATACCCCACCAGCAGATCAAACTCAGATCTCATGAGAGTAGCAGCAGACACAGGACCAGAAGGCAATCGGGAGCTTCCGGAAATGCCATACCTGTGTGCCACAGAGTTCCCCACTGACCCTTGGTTGGGGTCCTCTTGGTTCACAAGGCATGCACTTAATAACACCTCGCCTTCTGTAATACTATGCACCTTCTGTAATCACGCACGCACTTAATAACACCTCACCTTCTATAATACTAAGTCCTCAGAGCTCCGTGCTGTTCTGAGAGGGACGGCCACAAGTTCTTTCCCAACCCCTTCCGTTCCCTTTCTCTTCATGCCCATCCCCATGAACCTGCATCACTCCCTGGCACTGCCAAGCCAACCCTGGAAAAGGAGTTTCCCGGCCATTGGCTGGAATCAGGGCGGAGAAGTTCTTAGAATCTTCCTGTCCTCCAGGGACATGTATGCTTCCAGGGACAAGTTTAGGTCATGAACGTGCTCAGAACCTTTGGACAAGAGGAAAAATACTAAGAGATTTGCTTTTGACCTCTTAGGTGGCAGGGCTGCTCCCCTCAGGCAAATGCCCTTCACACCAACCATCATCGCGCCCCCTTTCCCTGGCTGGAGAGTTGGTTTCAGGTTCCTACAGGAGACACCTTTCCTTCCCTTACTCCCTATGTAACATTTTTGCTCTGCAGGCAGCTCTGCCCATTCTCTAAGCCTGGCTTAGAAGGCACTGGGAATGTCCTATAGCAAGACCTAGATAAGCCATGCAAGTGAGAGAGACATCTGAGGAAAATGGAAGACCTAAGGCAGACAGGAAGGAAGCACAAAAGACGAGCTCTGGGTCAGACCCATAAACCACCTCCCAAAGGCCGTCATTTCATTGCACTGGAATTTTTGCTTTATCAGAAGCACCTGGAAGTAAGGGAGTCATTGCCTTGGGCTTGGGAATCTAAGTGGGAGACCATATTAACTTGGGTTCGATTAATTGGAGATTACTAACTGCGGACAAAAGTTTCTTTGCACATTCAATAAAAATGGCATTTGTGTAGTAAATTCAGAGCATAAACCATATTGCTAAAGGTGGCATATTTAGTCTACCAAAAACAATACTTTTCGGGCACTTTAGACATATCTTTTTAGAAGCAGCGAGTGCATGGGCTAATTATCATCAATCTTTATGTATTTGTTAAAGAAACATTTACCAGATCTTTATGGGTGATCTTTTGTAAGAGATTAGTTTGAGGTACTACATATGTACTTGAAAATAATAAAGTTGCATTTCTTTATGAAAAAAAATCTCTTCCATAATTCAGATTTCTATACTTTATACTTGCCCCCTCCTAAGTCATGATATTGAAATGTGTGCTGTGGCAGAACCTGGCTTGTAGGGGACGCAACAAAGAGATAGAGCAAGTGTCAGGGACAGGAGGGAAACGGTCTGGGAGCAGATGACAGCCATAGAGAAAGCTAGAGGGGAAGAAGTGAGGTTGCAAAATATACAAGAAACTATAGTAGGAGCTTCCTTCCTCTGATCCCACCCTAGGAGCCACAAGGGTTTGCCCAGGACAGGGAAGGGCCTGTGAGTCTGTGAGGACCCGGATCCTCCGGAGCACTTCTGCTTTTTTCTGTTCCAGACCAAAATCAGGCCACTCTCGATCTGATGGGATGGGGAAGGAGATAATGGGCTGAGGGCCCAAGAGTCACACCAATTGAAAGTCTGTTCTGCATGCAGAGCCCTGTTCTGGGTGCTGTCTTTAAGGGACGGGGGAAAGTAGATGCAATCCTTGAAATTCACTTGAGTAGTAGATATCAGAAACCGTCATGGACAGAATGTAATGGGCAGTAGCAGGGGCACTTGCATGTTGGGGATGGAGGGGTGGGTGGGTGGGTGTGCATTGCTCACGGAGGGCCTGGGAATGGGAGGGAGAAAGACACCAACTCTTACAACCTATGCCAGGACCTCAGAATAATGGTCAGAAGTCAATTCTTGCCCAAGCCGTGTTTCGGCCCCTTTATTAAGACTCTCACAGTGTCATTAATGACAGTCATAGTTAGAAGTGATTATAGGAGCCTTAACTGCAGCTCATTTGTGCCATAACAAGGCCAAAGTTTTACTTGTATAGTTTCCTTTCATCCCACCGCAGGGCCTTTATTCTTAATGGCCCCTCTGCCAGGAACACTCTTCCCGTTATTCACATGCCAGGCTTGGTCACTTCATTCAGATTGCTCCTTAAACATTACATCCTCAGAAAGACCCCCACAGAGGACCTCAAATAAAGTAACATTCCTGGCACCTCTTTCTCTATTCTCTTTGTTTTTATTCATAAATACTTATTACCGGCAGGGCACAGTGGCTCACGCCTATAATCCCAGCACTTTGGGAGGCTGAGGTGGACGGATCACCTGAGGTTGGGAGTTCAAGACCAGCCTGACCAACATGGAGAAATCCGGTCTCTACTAAAAATACAAAAAATTAGCCAGGCGTGGTGGTGCATGCCTGTAATCCCAGCTACTCGGGAGGCTGAGACAGGAGAATTGCTTGAACCTAGGAGGCAGAGGTTGTGGTGAGCCAAGATCGTGCCATTGCACTCCAGCCTGGGCAAGAGGAGCTAAATTCTGTCTAAAAATGGAGCTCAAAAAAATGCTTATAACCTCAAATGTAGATGGAAAGACAGCTAGATATAATATTTAGAAAGATATGCATGTAACGTACATGTATTTTTGTTGTTGTTTATTTATGCTTTTGTTTGTCTGGCTCCTCCAGCATAAGTTCCATGAAGACAGGGATTCTATTTCTTTTGTTTAACACCTTTATCCTTAGCACCGAAAACATCTGACACACATTAAGCAATTGATAAATGTTTGCTGGATGACTGAAAGGATCCTCACAATAATTTAGAGAGAGACTGTTATCTCCAATTTACAAATGAGAAAATTGGGGCTCAGAAAGATTACATTATTATTCAAAGTTTCAAAGGTAGTAAGCATCAGAAGCAGGATTCAAACCTAGGTCAGTCTGACTCCAGGGTCTGCCCTCTTAATCATGCCATGCTCTGGAACTGCAAGAACAGAAAGGCTGTGGGCACAGACAGCGCCTGACTACCCCAATGGCTCAGTGAATGGGGGAGGCTGCTGAGGGAGCCAGGAATTTGTGGACAACAAACATTTGAGCAGCAGGGGCCAGGCAGACCTGTGAGAAAAGGAGAAGACATGATCTCAAAGATACAGTAAGGCATTAAGAAAAAGATCCAAGCCGGGCACTAGATCCCGGCAGTTTGGCAGGCCAAGGCAAGCAGATTGCTTGAGGTCAGGAGTTTCAAGACCAGCCTGGCCAACATGGTGAAACCCTGTGTTCTACTAAAAATACAAAAATTAGCCAGGCCGGGCGCGGTGGCTCACGCCTGTAATCCCAGCACTTTGGGAGGCCGAGGTGGGTGGATCACCTGAGGTCAGGAGTTCAAGACCAGCCTGGCCATCA